GGCAGTCTCCTTCATATTATTTTTTTAATGACTGGAAGAAGAAAGCCCTCATCTTTCCTATTTGGTAAAGACAACTGAACATGAAGGAGCCTTTGCTAGTTTTGGGTAAAAGGACTAGAGCTAGCCTGAGAATCACATCAAAACCTAGGAAGAAAGGTTGAGAATTGACAGGGATAAACTAGGGTATGACTATATTCCTTGTGATTACTGAAACACTTGGGTTATGCCCCACAGTGATGAAGAATTAAACCATGGATGGAGAAGGTAGGGTACAAACAAATTTGTTTAACATCAAAAGGCAGGGAAGTAAAGGTGCTGCTAGTGGAGGACTTCTGAGTAGGCTACCCGAGTACACTGTCTGTCTAGCAGATTTTAAGAGGTTTAGAAGGAAGGTTGGACTGTCTGTAAGCAATATAATCTTTATCCTATAGGAATCTACATACCTTAGAGGTCGAATCTATATAATGTTCACACAGTGCTCATGCAAGGCCACATGCTCTTGAACCAATGACCTGGTTGATCATGCACTGGGAAGGTCTCTGATAGGTGAAGGAAACCTCGCAGGTATTTTTGTAAGATCTCTGGAGGGTTATGATTCAGTGGACTCCATTTTTGAGCTTTCCAACTCCATTTTGGGGCCACTGTCTTTACTGCTAATAGAGTCATAACTCCTTTCTCACTATTTCCTATTACACCTTAGATACACTAAAGGCTGGCTTATACTTAGGCCTCTCAGTAAGACAAGCTAACATATCCCTGCTAGTCACTCCTATCGTTTGATGCTTTCACTCCAGTGGTCCTCTCATATCAGTGGGATTTCCAATACTGCTTTATGGACATCGTTATAACTACTTCTTCCTTTTCTGACTATGTGACTGAATATGAAATACCTATAATGTTGAAAAGGTTGTGTGTTTTTTTTAAACAAAGCAAAGCAAGCACTTTTTTTTCCCTTGCTTGTTATTTCCACATTATTTTATGCTGCTGTGAATTGAATCCCTCCCCCACATGTTAAAGCTCTAATTCCCAAGGTGACTGCATTTGGAGACAGGACCTTTAAGAAGGTAATTAAAGTTAAGTAATGTTATAAGGGTGTAGCCCTAATCCAATATGACTGGTGCCCTTATAAGAAGAGTAAGAGAAGGATACCAGATTTATGGACTTACAGGGTAAAGGATGTGAAGACAGGAAGAAGTTAAGCCAAGGGCAGAGGACTCATTTGACCAAATCTGTCAGCACATGGTTTTTCAAGACCTTTGATAAATAAAGATCCATTGTTTAAGCCACCTAGTCTGTGGAATTATTTTATGGAAATGCAAGTATACTAATGCATATACCATTTATAAATTTGCCTAGGATGAGTCTGACAGACTGTTCATAACCACTCCATCCTTCAAAGTGGATGATGTGGATTTGGGTTACTGGAGATGACTGGTTTCAAGAGGTGAAATAAAAGAAAACTTCTTGGGGAAAATCGAATGATGATCACTGTTGGTGATGAAAGTTAAGGCAACGATGGTGCCAAGGAAAGTACAATTGTAGAAGGTTCCCTACGGCTCCTTTCTGCAGAGGGAGGTGATTATATGTCCATCTTTAGGAGTCTACTGTACCTATGCAATTCATTTAGCACACCAGCTCTACTTGTTTTTTGGATTTTTGCTTTCAAATTCAGCTTCTAGAATAAAACATGTAAAGGGGAGCTCGCCTATATTTTCTCATCATCTTCAGATCATATTTTTATGTCCAACACAACAAAAAATAGAAAACAAAGACCCAGCCATAAAGTATGCAATAAAAAAGGAAAAGAGTGAAGGAGATAAAAGGAGTTTTATGATTTTTGTGCTTGATTCATTTGGATGAAGTAATGCTTTATCCAGGGGAAAAATAATCTCTGGCTCTTCTCTAGGCAGAGATGAGATTTATGGATCCTACCAGCTCAAGGATGTCATTGGTAATATTTTGACTTGAAGTTTGTGGTGATAGTAATTTGGCCTTTCTTGTAAGTAATTCCTGCTGTTTTGGAATGCTGCTATGGAGGTGACTTAGAAAAATGAGGGAGGACTTTTGTCAGAGTGAATGATAATTAACCCCTCATTACTCTGTACCTCTGTCCGGTCATTCAGATTAAATTAAAATTTACACACATTGACTTAGATACATTTATTCTTGTTTGAAGATTCTTATTTTTCTTGTCCTGAATGGTGAGAAATTATATAGTCTTGTTTATTCTCAACTCAAGACAATGGGCATTTTATATTGAATCATAAGAAGGACATTAAGGAAAAAAAAAACTGTTGGACTTGTCCACGTGGTTAATAAATATTTCAGAAAGCATACATTATATTGAAGATTGGAAAACTTGATATTTTAATCCTGGAAATCTGGGAGAGAGAGAAAGAAAATATATGTGTTCAGTCATTTTCAATGCTGTTATATAGAAGAGGTATCAGTTAACATGTATAACTTCAGAAGGAAGAGTAAGGGGAGACAGATTTCAAATGAAAATAAAGATACTTTTTCTAATCAATTGAAATATGAATATGGATGGGAAATGATTTGCTTTGTGGAATATCGAGCTACTAAACACTATTAAATGTCAAAGGAAAACAAAATAAATTTAAATGATACTCTCATTTTTCTAAGTATTGAACTATAGTAAAAGCCTAATATATCCTAAACATATTTTTGACACTTTTCTCCCTTTTTCCCCATCCCAAACTATGCCTTTCACATATTCTTCATATTTTTTAAAAACAATTTTTATGGTGGGAGCAATTGAACCCAAGGCTTTTATGTATGCTAAAAAGTGACCTACTGTTGAATCATATTCCAGCCCTCAACTCTTTTTAACATTGATAAATGACTCCTCTAATTCTGAGAGCCCAGTAAAGTAATCATCCTTTCTCATCTAGAGGATAGTATAATGCAGTCTATGGGCCAAATTCAAAATATTGTCTTCTCTTGTTCAGCCCTCTGGGTAAGAATAGCTTTACATTTTCAAGGTCTTTTAAACAAAAGAATAACATTTTTATGCTACATAAAAATAGTAGTAAATTCAAATGTCCGTCTTCATAAATAAAGTTTTATTGAAACCTGATGGTTAGGGCTTGTGACTAGATGTCCCCCAAAGCCTCATGAGATCATAGGTAGAGTTTTTTAGAGGTGACTGAAGCTAGAGTGTGTGATTATGGATTAAGGATGTGATGCTCAGATTGACTTATGGTACAATGCTAGGATTAAGAGTGCTGCAACCTCGGTGTGAGTGGAAACTGTGCTAAGGGTGGGTAGCCTGGATAAAATATAAGGGACAGAAGAAGGGTTGCTGTTAACACTGCTTGCTGCTTTGATCTTTCTGTGCACCATGAACTCTTTCTCCTCTGTGATGCCTCTCTGCCATACCACCCCTCCTTGGAGCCAGCTAACTAGGGAATGAAACCTCTAAAACCATGAGCTAAAGGAATCTTAACTTTGAGAGTCAGGTATTTTATCTCAGCAATGAGAAAAAGTAATAAGACAATGATCAGTTAAATTAATTTATGTATTTTCTGTAGAAGACTTTATGCTACAATGGAAAAATAGTCCTAAGCAAGATCTGTGTGGACACAAAGTCTAAAATATTAATCTTCTGAATTTCTACAGGAAAAGATTCTAGCGTTTGTCTAAACCATCCTAACATGCTTTTTGCTAGTTCCTGGTTGGAATCACATCAGCGCTTTATTGGCAGGTATGAAAATGAACTATGATCACATTTTCTGAATGCTGATGTTCAGGTGGTCAGCTTGAGCTCATTCCTTACGCAGAAGTTTAAACCTGACTGAATTTAGGCATGTTCAGGCAAAGGCTTATTGAGAACCAGTTTTATCAATGTCTCCAATCTTATTCATGGTACAGCTTTCTTTCTTGCTACCCTGCCTCAGGTTTCAGTCATCCTTGAGTATTTTTCTTTTCTGCCCCAGAACAATACAGTACCAAATTGTACTTAACAAAACATGTTTGGATTAAAAAAGTTGGAAAAAAAATATGAGAAAATGAAAAAATGGAAATCAAGTATTTGTGAATAGGGGAGGGACGAGGGGGTGAAGGGAGGGCAGGGCTAAGGGGAAAAAATGAGAACCAAGACCTGTCATGCAAAGGTACAGATCCCAATAATGAATGTAACTGTACTGTATACCTAAAATGTACCAATAAACTCAATGAGAAAAAAATTTACAAAAAAAAAAAGTTTGGATTCAAAAGCTAGCTCCTTTTATTACTAGACATGAGAACTTGAAACCTCCATGAGCCTATATTATTCATCTGTGAGATGTAGATTATTATAGAATAGTGAAAATTGAGTAAAAATAACCCATGTAACCCCTAATGTTGAACCTGATACATAGCAAGGGTTCCTAAAGGTTAGTTACTCTGTCAGTATTAGTGTCATTAAGCTGTGATTTTAGATGTCTTGTTTCTTATTCTCTGTACTGAACAATAGCTTACATAGACTTAAACAATAGCCTGCTGACTATGTCCTTCCCTATTGTTACCCTTCTAACTGATATTATAATTTACTAATGATTATAGTCTCTGAAGCATAATTCTATTGATGATATTTAACTACTTCAAGTTTCCGACAGAATACATAGCAAGTTTTGGACTAGCATTTATTGCTTTCCTGTACAGCTCTTTCTAGTTTTCCTGTTCTGCACTTAATGTTGAAACTCACTGAACTGATTAATCCTCCAAGATTCTCCAAGTGTGTACAATGATTAGATGAGGTCTTTGTCACCCAAAGTTCACCACTGATGTTCAATATTATCTACTACAAACAATGACAACATCAGCAAGACACCCTTGGACGCCTATTGGAAGTAAAGTATTCCTTCTCTTTATGAATACACCTAACATTTTACCTGAACATCAAATGACATTTTCTGTGCTCTACTTACTTAGTTTTTTCTGTGCTATAGTTATTGACTTTTTGCCCAGCTCCTCTCCGTCTTAGATGAGTACTTCCTTCAATATATACGGAGTGCTGCACACATTTGTGTATCATCCTTGTGTGGGGGCCATGTTGGTCTCCCTCGTATGTTTTCAATGTTAGCGTTTGCGCTGCTGAAGCGAGCACCTTCACAACCTGTCTTAATGTTCTTTGAATCGCTCTTAGCAGTGTCTACTGGGGAAGCACCCTCTGGAGCAATGAGATAAGCATATTAGGTGTTTGGTTATGAAACCATCTTCCAGCTGTATTGTTAAAATATCACCCATACCACTAAAATTATTTAGTAGGAAAATATCAGCCAAAAAACTGTTGTTATACAGGGAAAATAACTCAAAATTTTCTTTTAAAAATTTCCATTAGTACGCATTTACAGTACATATGGATAATATTCCTTGTAGGAAGTTAGCACATGTACATAACACTTTCTTAATTCTTTTTACTTCCTCTTTCCTTCCCCTTCCTCCCCACCACACCACCCCTCTTAAATATAATTTCAGTATCATACAATAATTTTTCCAGGAATTTTATAACTTATAAAGAGAGAACTTATGACTTTTAGAAATGTGTGTTCTTGCACACACGAAGAACAACTTGGTAGACTAGGGTAAAAAAATCTACATGCAATCAGACATACTCCTGCTCTGGCCAATTTTAACTTTTTCATTAGAAGAAAAGATAGAGATAATAAAATAAAGAAATATAAGATTAAATCAGATCCTACTTGTCATTACTAACACTCAGAAATTAGTAGAAAGAAGGAGAAAAAGAACATGAATATGACAAAAGGTTCCACAGCACACTGTGAAGGAGGCTGTCTGTATGTTTCTAAGATTCTTTTCAACTTTGGTTCCTAACGTTGTACTTTTCTACATAGTGGTGGATTTGATCTGAATTAGCACTGTACATATTCACCTTGATCCATGTATTCATGATAAGTGTACATCAAAGTTGGGCCTATTCTGTGGAGCTGCTTTAGCAGGACATGTGCCATCTATTTTATTGTATATCCGTCCCATCTTTTATCTGAAGGTAATATTTACTTTCAGAAAGGCTTTTTCCTTGTAACTGACACTACATTAGGACCACAGCTGAAAAGAAATATAATTGTTCCAAGATAATTCAAATTTCAATTACTCCATTATGTACTACATTAATAACTCATTTGAGTTGATTTGCACACACGCAAATATATTTTTAAATTGAGAAAGAAGGGGGCCAGAGATTTAACTCAGTGGTTCTGCCACCTGCCTTGTAAGCACAAGGTCCCGAGTTTGTTTTTTTGTTTTTTTTTTTTGGTACCAGGGATTGAACTCGGGTCCTTGCGCTTGCAAGGCCGGCCACCGAACCAATAAGCTAAATCCCCAGCCCAAGGTCCCGAGTTTGATCCCCGGTACCAAAAAATAAATAAACAAATAGAGAAAGAAGTAGCATGGTTTACATGAAGTGTCAGTGATTTTTCACTTTAGAGCTAACCATAAATTCACACTTTAAAAGAGTTCTGTAAAAAATTTAGGGCAATAATATTAAATGCATTCTTCCACTTTGAGATTATGTGTTACCTCACAAGCGCAAGCTTCCAAGCCCGATCCCCGATCCCCCAAAAATAAAAAAGAAAATAAAAAAGAATCCTATTGTATTTGAACCTAATTGTGCACCGAAGAAATAAGAAAGAATCTAAAATTTGTATGTGGATATTATTATTTCTATTGGCCTGTAAAATACTCAGGTTATTTAAAGTAGAAAAATATTGTAAACTTCTCTTTTCTTTATGAAGCTTATTTCTGTAAGACTTTTTGTTAAAAACAGTTTATTCCTGTACTTTGATGAAAAGACAGAAACTTTCCCTGATGTACAGTTTACACTTGCATTTTGTATCTAATCAGGCAAACAATTTTAATTAATTCAGACAATTGCCTCTATGGTGTCTGTGCCCTTTAGGGACTCTTTCATTACGAATGCAAATGTGTTCCTAAAATAATGAGAATGTCATTATCCTGCTTTATTCATTGAGGTGGTCAGGAAGAGAACAAAAAAAAATATCATTTGATGGTGAGGTAATTTTTTAATATACAGTAATGGAATTAAACTTTGATATTTTGGGGCTTCATTTTCTTGTTCGTCTTCGAACAATGTTCCCTGTGCACAATAGTGAAGATGATGACAGCAAGGATGTCAAGAGAAGATTAACTCAAAATCTTACTTCATATTATGAGAACATAAAATGAGCCTTCTTTTTCATTAGATTTGACGGTGAATATATGTACCTGTTAGAATGTGAATTGGATAATATGTAAAAAAAAAGTGACAAAATTTTAACAAAGAAAATTTTGATTTTAAAATTTTAAACAGGCTTGTCATAATAAAATATAGATCACCCTATTACTACTATACTTGAAAAAGATCTGTGTTGTAAATGAATAATGATTTTATTCAGAAGCTTATCACAATTAACTGCAAGAATGCTTGAAGAAATATCTGTCACAAGACAGAACTTCATCATGCCAAGTTGCTGCAATATAGCATTTTCCCTTCCTTTACTCATTTATTTATTCACTAGAGATTTCTGAGGTACCTATCATGTGCCAAAGGTGGAGAACACAGAGCATCTACTCAACCGTGCTTGCATTAAAACAGCAATCTCAATAACAATTGTATGAGGGGGAAAATCTCAGTATGTAGCCCAGGAAGCTGAGTGTACAAAAATACAGAGAATAAAAAGAGAATCACCCATTTGGAGAATTGTTGTTCAACGATTGCTACCTAAATATCAATCTGAAATGATGCTGCAGAAGTAGAGAGAGGTCATAAAGGGCCCGGTATGTGGAACTTTGATTTTGTTCTACAGCAGCAGGAGATCTTGCCAATTAAATGTGAAAATTCACGGTTGAACAATTTCATTGCCAAATAAGTTTCAATAGTGCAAAGAGCTATTTTCCCAAGGTCTCTTTCCTTAACATGCTTGGTCTTAGTTACTTTCTCAATGCTGGGAAAAAAATACCTGACACCCACAAGTTAAAGGAGGAGAGGTTTATTTTGGCTCACTGTTTGTAGAGGTTTCAGTTCATGCGTGGCTGCTGCAAGGCAGGGCAGCGCAGTACAAGGGCATGGAAGGCGGGAAGAATTCACTGCAGGACAGGCAGGAAGCAGTGTGATTCCCTTCTTTGTTACCTTTTTATGCTGTCCAGGCTACAAGTCTATTGGTTGGTGCTGTCCATGCCCAGGGTGGGTCTTCCCTCTTCAGTAAATCCAGCATCCACACCCAGGACTATGCTAAACCAATCAGCAGGCTACTCCAGTATCACACACCCTTGATTCATTTGCTCCCAACAGCCCCACTGCTGAGCACATCAGGCTTTGGGGCACATCTACATATAAACCATAACAATATATAATTATTAAAATTAAGCAATGTTTCAAGGCAAACATATCATCTAGTTCCAAATGCTGACCTCTCTCCCTTCTTTCTGCTTGACCGGACTCTTGAATTTCTACAAAAGGTGTGTCTGTGGTTCTCTAAAGAAGAGCAAACTATTCTTCATACTTCATGCTACAACTAGACGGCTTTTTAAAAAGCTCCTCTTTCATCTAGAACTGTAGCTCAATATCCTCCATATCAGATCTAAAAGTCGCTGTGTTTATGATCCTTGACAATCTGTTTGTAGGCATTGCCTTTCAAAGGCTCATCAGCTAACATTGCCTTTCAGGCTCATTGGTTCTTACATCTCTCATATTTTCTTTAGCATTGTGCTCTGAATACCCTTCACTCTATGCCCCCTCAACTTCTACACTTACAATTGGTGTTCAGTCCAGAGTGAATCCTTTCTCCTTAGGCAAACATTTTAGACTCACCCCAAATAATGTCTAGTACATGAAATTTTCTCTCACACCCAAACAGAGCTCATGTAGAGAACCCACAATGACTGGATTTTTCTACAAAAGTTTCCTTAACATATTACATTGAGGTTTATATGTCTGTCTCTCCTAAACAGTATGCTGACTTCAAGAGTATAGACATCAGTCCCTGGATTGTCCCCAGTTGCTGGTAGAGTGCTGCATAAACATGATAAAATCTACAGCATATTCAAATCTTCCATGTATTCTCTTTTTTTATAACTCCATGAAGTACTATTGCTATATTTGTAGAAACTGAAGCCTAATGATTTTTTGCAGTGCTGATAATTGGCTGGGCAGGAAGTGAAATCAGGACGGCTTATGATTAAACAACCCAAAGTTCACAAAACTTAGCACAATTTTCATTGCGAACCAACAATATTAATCAAGATGCTTAATGTGCATATGTGCATATATTTCAAGCAAATAATTTCTTCTTTCTTTACTTTTACTTTCGTGTTGAATGAATTAAGCTGCTTTCATGATCCGATTCTGTACCCATATTCTGACTGAGGAGCAAAGATTAAATTTAGATAACATCCATAGAGAATAAAGATATTCTTAATAAATTTGTGAACTGGAAGCCTATTTTAGTAAGTCAGGTTTAGGCGAATTAAGACAGTTTTTGAGGTTATTGCCACTCCTTGTTCAAAGGTATCATGTCTTCAAATTGTATATGGTTAGTTCATACTTTCTTATAAAATATATTGAAGGGCTGAGAGTGAGTATTTTTGTCAAAGATGGGTAAGATTCACTCTGTCAGATTTACGAATGAATCTGATTTATGAACATTCTCCCAAAATAGAATTCGTTTATAAGTCAAGAAATATCTTACATATATATAATCTATATATAAGTCAAGGAATATATATATATTATATATATAATATATATATATTCCTTGACTTATATATAGATTATATATATGTAAGATATTTCTTGACTTATAAACGAATTCTATTTTGGGAGAATGTTCATAAATCAGATTCATTCGTAAATCTGACAGAGTGAATCTTACCCATCTTTGACAAAAATATACAATGTAAAACATAAACCCTCCCACACGAAAATACTGTGCTATTATGGTACACTATCATATTGTACATTAAGCGCACAACGTAACTGTGACGGTGTCCAACAGACATGTGAGTTACTTCCGTGATTTGTTGGAATTTACCAATGTCCATCATGTATGGTCTGTTCATATCTGTGAATGTTTACAACTTGAATGTTCC